GCAAAAGGTAGTCTGAAGTATTCCTTGAGTTTGCCAAACATCATTATAAACATGCTCTTAAAAATGGGAGAGAGACAGAGGCGACAAGCCAGCTGGTGGGGTTTCTGGTTTGTGACTCTTGGGTTGATCGTTCATTACTGAGTCTCTCTCTGATGCAGAGTTTTCTACTCTCTTCCTCTTGTATGCATGGCCAGGAATCACAGAGAAGACTCTGCTAGCCTTCAGAACGATATTTCCGTCCCTTCTTTTCACAGGTGGGTAGTACTGATGGTTGAAGTAGCCACACCAGCCCTTTCTAGCCTGCCTGCTCCTATGCATGGTTATTAGGATGTTTCGGAGCCCTTTTCAGGGAAGACATTTCAGACTGAGTTACTGTCTCTGCCCTGTCCTCCCTGGCTGCAAGCAGTGGTATAGGGGGGGTGGCAGCCCCAGGGCAGCGGGAGGTGGATCCTGATGCCCAGGGGTGACTCCTTCACCCTGATCCTGGCTTTAGGAAAAGTCTGAAAGGGGTTGTGGCAAAGGGTGTCCCCAGGGAGGTGACCAGTGATGGGAAAGCCCACAGCCTTTTCCTCACAGGGTTATTAAATGTGGCAAACTCTTTGGGCCTGTCCATGGGGGCTCAGCACATGTAGTTGAGCTTTCCTGGCTGACTATAAACTACTCCTGGCATCTAACAGAGCAGGCAGCAACAAGAGGGTTTGGTGATGTCCCTCCACAAAGAATGAGCACTGGTGGTTTTGGGAAAATGTAAAATGGTGGGGACAGACTTTTTAGTAGGGCCTGTAGCAATAGAACAAGGGGTAATGGTTTTAAACTGAAAGAAGGTAGATTCAGACTAGATATAAGGAAGAAATTGTTTACACTGAGGGTGGTGAGACACTGGCACAGGTTGCCCAGAGAGGTGGTGGATGCCCCATCCCTGGAAACATTCCAGGTCAGGTTGGACGGGGCTCTGAGCAACCTGATCTAGTTGCAGATGTCCCTGCCCACGGCAGGGGGGTTGGACTAGATGACCTTTAGAGGTCCCTTCCAACCCAAACTATTCTATGATTCTACGATTCTATGGTTCTCTGAAAAACCCTGGTTATGTCTGCAGATGTAATAAAGAAACTAGATTTACCAGCAAACAATATAGGAAGTTGGATTTATTTTAAGAGATGAGTCTTGGAATTATTCACAAAGAAAAGGTATAAAATGCACACCAAAACAATGATTTTTGTAAATCTATCAATAAGCAGGCAGTAAATTTTAAGCTACATTTTGAGACACCTGCAACGTTATATTTTTTTTCACCTGTGAATTAAATTGCAAAGAAACTTTTTAATAAAAAATACTGAATTTTGAAATACAGGTGAGAACATATGGAAGAACATATGAAAGAAAAGTGTCAGGAAAAAAAAAAAAGAGCTAGTTTGCAAGAACAGGTACCAAGCACGTCCAAAAAAACTGGATTTTTAGTTAGAACTGTCAGAAACCTGCTTTTACATGAGAGCCTGCAGCGAGCAGCAGAGGGCGCTGAGATAAATTGATTTATTTTAAACTCTAGCCAATAATACAGTTTTGCTGGGAGTTGGATATAGAGGGGTATATACTTTATTATAGAGACCCACGCTGGATTTAAAAGGCAGAGCAGGACTGAAAGTCCATTTCTGAAACAGGATCTTGACTAGGTGCAGGCAAAGTTTAAAAAAATATATATATCCCGCAAACATCATATGAAATGAGAGGAGCATAACTTGTTGAATTAAGATTGATTTATTTTTTTTTCTGACTTGTCACCAAAGCGGCCATCACGGTGTTGCAGGTCCTCTCCCTCCCAGGGCTATTAACAGACACCTCGTCGAGATGATTTGGATATTTGACCCAGGCTACACTCTGCATTTAGAAGTGGGGGATAAAAGATTTATTCGCATTAGAAGGGAGAGGTTCAAACACTGAGCTGCCTGTCAAGAAACAATCGGTGTCAGTAAGAAGCTGCATCTTTATCCTAACGGAGGAAACACTGATATCGGCATCATTTCCAGCAGGGGAAATGTTTGGCTGTTTGTAACTCCCAGCTACGGGGATAACCGGGGGGGGTGGG